GATGGAGTAACATTTTACATAAGATAGCCTTTCGTATTATAATCAAAATAGTCTTCAGATTTGATAAAAATATTTAAAAACAATTGAAAAGTGTTTAGTTCATGAATCTGTTTTTGAATGAACCATTTGATCCAATGATTAGTTTGTTGATACAACCTATGACTTAATTTATAGATGACTTTATATAATGACATTTTTAATGAATCATTTGAATAAATGATCCAGTGAGACATGCCACCGCCTACTGAATAATTCCATGTGTTTTTATTTATGACAGGCATAAACTAGATAAGGCACCACCCCAAGAGTATACAACAAAATATACTGTAATTGTTGTTATAAAAAATATATCACACAGCTAACAGGTTACAAAATTAAAAAGATTTTTTAATCCCAAGATATCAAAGATGAAAAGCTGCAACGGGTTAAAAATGGACCTAAAAAAAATCCATCTACCGCTGATCACAGCTGTGTCAACCAAAAGTGCATTATGGGTAAAGTCTTTTGCTTGAAACCTCATTGGGTTTGTGAACAGAAATTACATAAACAGGGAATCCAGGGGAAAAGAATCCTCTCACTAGTCATAAACGCTGAGAACAGGAGGAGTAGGAGTGTATGGGCAGGATTATGTAAGCGTGCTACAATTCAACACTGCAGCCATCTGCATTGAGAATGAATCCTCCCATGAACAACTTATTTATGCTGAACTATGACATGAGCTAACGTGCTCCAGCAGCAAAATTCCCCTGAACAAAATTAAATAAATTGGGTAACAGATTCTGCAAAAACTTCAGTATCAATCTAGCACTTGTGATCTACAATTCAATACAATTTTCAACTTAATTTGAAATTCAAATCTACAATTGTAATACAAGTCACATCATAGGATTAGATTTAAAAAAAGATTATACTTCCGGGGTTTCTGATTAGCAGCAATTAAAACAAATCCTTCTTTATGTTCAAGACCAAAAAGCTTCCTTTAAAAAACAAATATAATATTGTAGCAGTTAAACAAATAAAAAGAAAAGAAAAATTTTGTTTGTATATGGAACTCCGTTTCAACTAATTTTTAAGTATTTTTTTTTTTAGAAAGATGAGTGTCCACCTTTTCCTCAGACAGCACTGATCTGCTTGATTTGACTGTCACTATTTCAGTGGATCTGAAAGCAGGAATTATCTGACTGAAATGGGCTTATGAAGGAATAATGTAACGGGGCTCTATTACATTTAACATTTTCTTTAAACCCGACATTTTCACTACCGATTAAGATCTCTCTGATGTTTTTTTTTTTCCACCACTCCCTTGGTAGTGGTTATGGTGTGCGACGTATCTGAATACCGGTGGGGGCGTGTGCGTGCGATGTACCAGAGCGGTGGGGGTGAGTTGTGCCCAATGTACCTGAAGAACTGGGAGGGATGCGGTGGAGAGGGGTGAGCGACGTATGTAAGGAACAGGGGGGAGACCCGCGATTTCCAAAAAATTATCATTCGTTTGAGGGCATCCCAAGTTTCTCAGGAAGCTTCGGGAGACTCCTGGATGTCTAGGTTTACTTTAACGTTACTAGCCATTTTGTGAGCTAGTGTAGCACATGCCTGGAGTAGTGTTTGGAGTAGACGTGTGAACCTATACTGGTCTCACGGTTCGGTTCGGTTACGATTATCATGCCTTCGATTCGGTTCAATTCGATATCTCGGTGCATTACGGTGGATTGACAATGCTTTCTAAATACAGTGTTATATTTTAGGGGGAGGCTAAAACAAGCTGTCTGTATAAACACACAGACACACTGCAAAACACTGTCTCTCGTTCAAACACATACACAAACATAGACAGCACCAAACAAACAAACAAACACACATATATTTAAATACTTTAGAGATATTTTTTGGGCTGGAATCAGTCAGCTGGTTTCATTTTCACTGCTAAGAGCGGTTCACTTCCCGCACGGCTCCCAAACGATCACTCTGTGCCACAAACTGAATGTTATTTACAACTTTATTACCTGTTATTCACAGTTTATGCAGGTTATGTTCACTAAAGTAAACTTCATTCAGAGGCACGCGCGCCCTCCCTGTGGAAACAGCTGACGGTCAGCTTATGTCACGTGAGATTTTGCGGTCGCAAACACATAACATAAAGACAGAAATGACATTTTTTAGGTTAATTATATCTTACACAGTATGTGACTCTTTCAACACCATTTGGAGGTGTCTACGTTGCTGAACAACGCATGTAAAACAATGTGAAGACTTGCGCGGCCACCACTGCATCTCTCCTGAACTTGAAAATATGATTGACAGAATCGTAGAAATGCTGGATTAAGATCGTCTAGGAGGTCGAATCGAGATCGCAATCTTTTCACGATTAATTGTGCAGCTCTACAGCACAGCTTCTGACAGATTTCCCGCACACATTTTTGAGTTACTGACACTGATAATACAGTGACTTGATGTCAACTGCCAATGAGAAATCTGGCAACTTTAGAATCTCACGTAAAAGTGGCTTTCTGTTTACTGATTTGCATGCAAACATTTAAATGCACTCATTCTAATATTTATCATTATATTATTAAATATGTAATGATTATAAGTTTACTTTCTATTTTGACCAATGTAATAATGAATTCAAATGGTACTAGGGAACTTGTTTATTAGATTTTAAAAAGGTTTATTAACTGTTTCCCTCCTCTGCCTACCATGTAATTGTGAAAATGACAGTAAAATATCACCGATAAGACTTTATGAACTATTTCAGTGCATTTAGACTTGTGCCCTTTTTAAAAAACATCCCAAGTTAAAATTCCACCACAAAAAACTAACAAGACCGACTGAAAACTCAGACGTAGGGGGTATTTTATAAATCACAAGAGGCCCCCAGGTAATACTAATCCCATGCAAAAAGGGTTTAAGCCTCTACAAAAAGCATGAGCATATCATATAGCAACTAGCAAGCAACCATTGTCACATGACTCTCATTTTTTGTTGTCAGGGACATTTGCAAACAGAAGTGTACACTTGAGCATGTGAAGGTTAGAGGTTTTAAAACCCATGAGGCGAGCATGTTCACGTGGAAATTTCACAAAGCACTTGAGCAAAAAGAGAAAGTTTCTAAGGGGCAGTATGTTTTACAATGAACAAACTATAAATTGTTTTTAGTTCTGACAAAAATGTTGCTAAAGTGTTTTCAATTTAGATTGATGCTCACTAACTAAAATATGAAAAATTATGCACATTAAAAAAATAATTAGCAAAAACTAATCAGCAGGGTTACGAGTTCAGATTCTTCATCAAATAGTAGAAACCATGCTTACATGGACAAATCTTTAATCCAATAAAACAATTTAAAAAAGCTAAATCATTTAAATTCATAAAAATACATGCTAACAAATTGTATATTCGAAGATAATTATTATACAATTTATGCTCCAGAAAATGTCACAAAGGTTTATAAATAAACTTCATCGGCTTCTCAGCTCTCATTACAACCTATAAAACCTCTTGGCAAAAGTCAAATCCAACCTTGTGACTTTAATGACAGAGAACAAGCAAGTGGGCTTGGAGTTCATCCTGAACAAATGCCAATAAAAGCACTCTGAAATGTTAATCAACTTTTGAGAACACTACGTTTTGCATAAACTGTGGCTGGCACTTCACATATATTAGAAGCTTGCTTAAAGAGCCAATAACCAACACTGCCACAGGGCATAAGAACGACATACTAATGCAACCTCCAGTGCCAAAGCCTCACATTTTCCAATAAATTTGGCAGCCTAGTTTATTGTGGTACACCTCAAGTGCAAAAAATGGCTTGTCATTACATAATCATTCAGATGTGATGAATGAATACTGGTGCCAATTAGGACAAACCGATTTAGATTAAAGTGTAAAGGTGACCTGGAGGACATGATGGCCTGTGTACGCCAAGTAAACCACCGACATTTGGACAATCCCCCATGACAACTGATTACCTAACAAACAGGGACAGCTAGTGTCAGGACATGACACTAATTCATTGACAGTAGTACGTTGAGTTCTGTCCTCCAGATGTCCCTTGCTTTAAGACCCGAGACACATGTTTCAGGAGATAACTCTGTAGACTACTACTACTAACTCCAGAACGTGAGATCAGCTGCTGCAGGACATTTAAATCGATGCAGCCTCCATTATAATCAGGGCACATTTAGACCAGACGGAAAATAATGCGGCGGTGCAGTGCGGTGTTGAAATATATTAATTCATGTAGTTGATGATGCTGTTGGTCATTTACACTTCATAATCTTATCTTTAGTCAAATAGTAAAATATGACGTATGGGCCAGGCCGGCTGACCTTGAAATGATTTTATACTGCAGTATTATCAAAACACAGTTTAACCCCCCACACGAACACTCATATAACTGGTAAGTTAATTACTTTACATCACATGAAGGGTTGGTTTCATGTTTACATCATTTACAGAGTATTTTAGTCGCGAAAGGTTTCATAACTCATCCCTCATGCCGTGTCGCCAAAATACATTCATGCGACTCTCATGCAAAGGCATCAAATCGTCCAAACGAGCAACGATTCAATAACCGGATTTTCCTTTCAGAAAGAGTTGTATAAAAAGGATGCACTGTATTGAGCTAACCTAAATTATCGTTTTCTGCCCTTCGTTTTTATTTTAAAGGCATCCTATTAGCGAACAAAGAAGCGCGAGCACGTCGCTCGACTTCTGCCTGTGCGGCCGCGCGATTCCCGCTGCACGTCCTATGTTACGTCACAGCGAAAATAACGTTCTGCTAGAGCTGCTAGAGATGGAGGAAAAGCTACTAAAGATGAAAATCTGCACACTAGCGAAGTGAACGAACACCACAGACGGCAACCGGCGTCTTAGTGGAAGCCGGTGATTTAAGGAGATAACATTATATTTAAAAACGGGTCAAATAAGCACCGACCGGCGTTAACGCGCCGGTTAATGCGGCTTTGACACACAATCCTGAAAGTGGAAATAAACTCACAGTTCCTCTGTTGCAAACTCTGGCAAGCTGGAGCAAGAACGGCGGGGCTTTTGGATAGAGTGGCAGCAGACCTGCTGAGAGAGCTTAGGACCTTCAAATAACCTGCCATGTTTTTTTTCTCTCTCTCGCCAAAAACACTAGAGGTTGCTGCCCGACTTCACTCCGGTCGAAGGAAGGGTCGAATGAATCGGAGCAGACAGCAATAAACGCAGCTCTTCTCCGCCTCCGTCTCAGTGGCGACGTCACCATTACACGAGGTCAGGTCTGAAACTCACCGATGTGGTAAATGGCCAATCATATTTGAATAAGCAACTCATCGATGTTTCGCTTGGTAACTTTTGATAACGCTCGGTACGCACGTTCTCTTTCGTTTTCAGTTAACCCTTTAGAGGCGACCGAGTCATTTCCGATTTTGATCTCGTCAGGAATGTCTACATTTTCATCCAATTTCCAGGTTTTTACCAGTTTAAGCATACTTTATACTTTTTGTGGGAATTCTTATGTATAATGTGGTCGTGTTTTATTTGTTGCTATCTGGCATAAATGTGTACGCTACTCACTACGAAGAAAAGGCTGAAAGAACAGGCTGATAACTTCTTCACATTCCGCTGTCTGTCTGGTTGCTGAGCAGCTCCGCTAATTTTAGCCGGATTGAGTTTCCACCATACTCGGTAAAAGAATATGGGCGGGTGATGTGCGCATGATGCTTATGCGCATGCGTCGTAGAGCTGCTGCAGGTCATTTGAAGGAGCCAAAAGGCAGAAGTGTTTGAAGGTTGAGAGGTTGTAGCCAGTAAAATTATAATATTACTGCACATAACAGTGTTGTGGAAATATATTATTACAAATTTGGTCAATAATGTTTTGTCTCTCAAAATATACTGTGTTGTAGGAAACTTTGTAAGCCGTAATACAGGAATTTAAAAGTCCCTCCCCAAACGAATGCCTTCAAAAGGTCTTACATCTCCTGTAAGACCTGCAGTAGTGTCAAGTAGTCTGCAGTAGTATCAAGATCATAAAATCTTACACTATACAGGCATTGTAATACATAAAAAATAATGAACTGATATCAAATAGTATTGGTGATATCTGAGAGTACTTTTTGTACTTTTTGTTTGCCCACCGGCAGATGTTTATTAGCATAAACTTGCTTATTTTTGTTTTTCAAATCTTAGGATCACTTCCACAGAAAACAACATTTCTTATTTCATCATTTTGCTTCCCAAAAATGTATCTTGATTTAAGAATTTTTAGATATATGCATTGGGAAACTAAATAAATACTGAAGAATGTTTTTAGAAGGTACAATAACTTGCCAATAGTATCTGGATGCAGCCTTTATGATGCAAGCTGGGTTTGCATCACTCAGAGATGCAATGTCTGACACCATGCACTCAATGGAGATAGTCACATCACTGTAAGGGGTAGAGTTAGGAGTGGGGTTAGGTGAGCACATTAAAAAGCATTGGATGCAGCTCAGATTGCATCTGCAACGAGTCTGCAGCCAGACCCCTCTCGTAATTGCTAGACAAAATTAAACTTCATCGAGATTGGTTCGAAGTAGTAATTTTAGCAATTAAATTAACTCATTGTTTTCCACATGAATTAACATTTAGAAACTTTCTCTTCATATTATTCATATAACAATTTCTTAACATGGTCTTAAAAAGTCTTACAATTACTTTCGCAAACCTGCAAAAACCTATAATTAAATTAGACAGTGTTGGCAGAATCACTGCTTTCAGTCTCACTCAATTGCAGTGAAAAGACCTTAAATTACGTTGTCTGCTTAGACTCGCAGTCTGTTCAAATGTTAAATTCCTCAAATACTTCACAAGGTTACGACAAATAAACTGTTAGATATGAGTGTGGTCAGCTTTTTCTGTTCAGTAAAGAATGTTATGTTGTCATATCAGTCAGGACTAGGTCATTCTGAAAATCAGCGTACAAATATTGCTTCACTGAACTTTGTCAATATGACCTCTGTTGTCATTCACAGGACTGAAACCTGTGTAGTTCACAGGAAACTGTTTACTCTACAGTATCGCTCTGTTTACAGTAGTCATACTGCCGGTCAAAAGCAAAAAAAAAAGAATTATTTTCACAGCCGGATCAGATTGACCATTAATAAACAGGCCCATAGCCAGCCTGGTAAAATGTTTTTTTTTTTTTTCTCTTTCAAAAAGTGGACCTTTCTGCAATTACACGCCTCATTTTCTATTTAATTATGAAATGTAAATGCTGCATTTTAGTGACATTTTTAGCACTATAATGAATTAGCTTGTCAGATGGTCATCTTAAGCACACATTTTGACTATTTTAGCCAAAATAATATTCAAATCGATTTTATTATGGTACGCTTTTTGTGCTTTACATTTTTTCATTCATTCATTCATTCATTTTTCTTTTCAGCTTAGTCCCTTTATTACAGTTTTCTTAGTTGTTTACACACAATTACTTGTACTACAGACACAATTTCTACAACATGTAACTTATACACCAACCCCCTGAACCAATTCTGCTAAACTACAAGCACAATTCCTGCTTTACACTCAAATTGCAGGTTTACAACACACTTTTTTCAAAACACTACACACAATTCTCTGCATTTTGCACAATTTTCATGCAGAAAATCTTTTGTTTTCACAAGGAACAAACTGTCATTCAGAATTGTAAAGTCAGTTGCCTTACTTTGCATACTAACTCATCACATGAGTAAACACTTGTCTCACAGAATTTCAATTTAGAAATCAGAGCTCATCTGGATCATAACTGGTTTACTGCCCACCCACAATTTTTTTTTGTGGTTTATCACCTTCCATATTCTCCATTCCTCAAACCTATTGAGGAATTGTTTTTCTGCCTGGAGATGGAAAGTGTATGACCGACATCCACACACACGTATATCCCTATAGCAGTTGATGCTTTTCCTGGATGGATTCGCCATGCAAGGTGACATGCTTGGTCAGACCAAACAGAAAAGAGGATGCAGTATAGCTGCCTTTTTTATTTTTGGTTTTTACTGTAACTGTGTTGTTATTGTATTGTGTTGGTTGGGACGAACACTGTGTACACAGTTTTTGTGGGGAAAATACAGTAAAATGTATTTGGTATTTGTGGGTTTTGTATAAAACAATTTTCTGAAATATTTTACAGTGCACTTCTGTAGGCCTATATACTGTCTGTCTGTAGTAAGTGTAACACTGAGCAAAAAAGGCTGACAGTAAGTCATTATGATGAATGGTCATAGTGTTTTACATTAAGCACATCAGTGTTCAACTGTTCTTATAATTGTCTATTGATGAGATGGCTTGTGTGTGTCATTTGAAAACAAAATACCATTTTGAGAAGAAATTACATCGTTTTGAACGTAGAGTTTCATTTTGCAGAATTGAAGAGTTTTGCCCAATGTGTGCGTATTTTGTGATTTGTTTGTAAAGTTCTGACAGTATGAGACCTGCTTACAGAAAATGTGTGTAAACAATTGGAAAAAACTGTAATTAGGGGTCACTACAGTGGAATGAACCGCCAACTTATCCAGCATATGTTTCACGCAGCGGGTGCCCTTCCACCCAACACCGGAAAACACCAATACACTCACCTTTAGTGCATGTCTTTGGATTTGGGGGTAACTGGAGCACCTTGAGCGACCTCATATTTAAGCTAGTACTGTATATGTATAAAATGTGAATGCATGCATGTATATATTTAATTTTTCATTTCATTTTCTTGTCTGCTTAGTCCCCTTTTTAATCCGTGATCACCATAGCGGAATGAACTGCCAACTTGTTCTTCACGTTTTCGCAGAGGAAGCCCTTCCAGCCGCAACCCATATCTGGGAAACATCCACACACACTCATTCACACACACACTCATACACTACGGACAATTTAGCCTACCCAATTAACCTGTACCGCATGTCTTTGGACTGTATACACACACACACACATGTATATATATATATATATATATATATATATATATATATATATATATATATATATATATATATATATATATATATATATATATATATATATATATATATATAT